GACGGTCGCAGGCGAGGCGGCGGGGGCGCCGCACCCTTCCTCCCCCGCGCCGCCGGACCCCGAGTGCGAGCCGGGGGCACGGACCCCAGCCGTCGGATCCCAGAGCGCGCGGCTTCCCGCTCTGCGAACGAGCCCGCCTTCCCAGCCCCGCGGACGAGCGCCAGGAGGGAGGCCTCTGGAGACTGACGGATGCCCCGGACCACCCTATCGCGTTTCTTCTTCCCGCTTCTCGAAGGCAGATTCTGCGCCTGGCTGCCGCTCTGGCTCGGGTTCCTTCCGCGGGCTCCGAGCTGGCAGCACCGCCCTCCCGCGTCCCGCTCTGGACGGCCCCGGAGTCCGGCGGGTGATGTCCAGGCCCCTCGCCCCCTAGGCGCCTCCGCGGCTCGCCTGGGTGCTAAACCTGAGTCCAGCCCTGGAAGGAAAAACAAGTTCTTGATACATTTTTCATTTTTTTTTTATTTTGTAAGAAATATATACTTTCTCTGATTCTTGTATTCATGTAAGCTCTGAAATTTGAGTAAAATGGCGTTTAAGTCTACATTGCAGCCTTCTAAAATCACGAGGCTACAAGAAGCAAATGATTATACACAACACATAAAGAAAATGCGCGCGCGCGCGCGCGCGTGTGTGTGTGTGTGTGTGTGTGTGTGTGAGAGAGAGAGATTTACTGCTTGAACACATCCTTGCTCACTTGCGCTTCTTTTTATAAAACCAGCTTTTCTGTAATGCAGTACCTCACATTTTGTTTCCTTGAGATAAGAGACAAGTGGTTGGGCTTTGGAAGTGTTTTGCTGTCTGGCTTTGAAAACTTGAACAAGTTATGTTCTTCCGTTCCCAGTTTTCACTCTGTAAACCTGAAAGGGAACTTAGCTGACTCCTCTCTTCAATCTTGTATTATAGAAAATATTCAAACACGAAAGTAGAAAGAATAAGGGACCCCCACATGAACACCTCCTAACTTCCACAGTTGCTGTGTATGTGGGTAATAGAGTCTCAGCTCTGTGCCCACCCACCGCCAGCCCTCTTTTTTCAGTAAGTTGTAAGTTTTACATGTAATTTTTCATCTGTGAACATGTAACACACATTCATACACTATAAGAGCTATTAGAAGTAACTACAGTAGTATTGGATGATACCTAAAAACTTAAATATAATTTCTACATTGAGGCTCAAATCTGACTTGTCCTTTTAAGTTGGTTTTTGCAAAATCCATACTTCAGTTTAGCCCATGCCATTTTTTTTTTTTTTTTTTTTTTTTTTTTTTTTTGGGTTTTCTCCGGCACCGGGAACCAAACTCATGACCTTGCGCTTGCCAGGCAGGTGCTTTTGCCGCTGAGCTAAATCCCCAGCCCCTAGACCATGCCATTTTGAAGACATACACCATTTTCATCGCTCTAGAAAATTCCCTTGTACGCTTCTTAGTTGTGCTTATTCTCACAATTCAGATTTTCTTTCTAAGGGGATCATATAACCTGTGTTTCCTATCTTTCTAAATTCTTTTACACAGTATGATGTGTCAGGTTCCTTCATGTTACTGCATAAATCAAGTTTCTCTTATTGCTTTTGATCATTTCTTTTCATTGTGCCAATGATACATCTTGTCCCCAGTGACCACTCACACCCAGGCACCTTGATAGAACATGACAACCATAATTTAATGTACCTTTTCCTCTGACATATTTATACTTTAACAGGGACCTCCTCAAGGTCGAATGCATTAAGTCAAAGAAAGAAATAAAATGGCAGACATTTCCAGTCCCGTTATCAGACCGGAGAGATGATTATGATGGTTTGGGGTTGGTTACAGTTCTCACGATGGTGTAACTCCACACCTTCCTATGGTGCCTCATGTTTCACAAGGCATTACTGTGCTGTGTCATTTCATCAGGAGCAGTGGGTAAGTTAAATTTCATGCAATTTCTATAGACAGAGAATCCTCAAGGCTGAGATCACTTCCCTCAAGAGGCAGAGCGGTAGTCTAACAGGAACTCTTCCAAAGGGTACCATCTTATCTGCATTTGGCAGTTACTCTCCGAAGCCTCGCTGATTGGGGGTAGTATGGGGCAGGGAAGGAGAAGGTGGGACCCAGCTGTGTCAGAAACAGACTTCGAATTTGAAGGTGACAATGGAAATCAAGAATTTATGTTCTCACAAAACCGTGCATTCGTAATTAAAGCTGTTTTTTCTGTATCAGTGCTCCTCACCTAGGGAAAATGATTCCTCTCCACTCTCTCTCTCCCTCTCCCCTTACCCGAAAAGAAGAAAGAAATGAAAGAGAAACTTGTAAAAATGTTGCCATTTTGAATTATAATTATAATTCTGTTTTACTCTTTCTATTCCTCGAACTGCCTTGAATATGTTAAGCTTTCAATGAACTTTTAATTATAGATAATATCAGTCATGGTATTGCTTATGTTCTAGCTGTCACCTCTTACTTAGCTCTGTATTCCTAAGAAGCCAGAGCTACTCAAGGACAAAAGCAACTGGAAAGTGATAAAGTCATTTTCTTTCTCTTTCCATCAGTGAATGACAAGGCAGCCCTGAGTCAATCTTTAGCATGTCTGGATTTAGTTTTAAAATTGAAGTAAAGAATGTGGAACAGTGGAAAGCATTACCGGTGCACACCTTTTGTAAATAACTACCACAAGCATGTCAGATTCTTCCTTTGAGAGATGAAAGCTAAATATTGTACACCTTAGTATAATTGCTTTATCTGCAGCTAATCTAGTAATTTAGCGTAGATTAACAGCCTATGAAGTCAGTGCTTAACCCACACTTTCTTCATTTTCCTTGTAAAACAACTGAATTTTCATTTGTGCTGCGTGGCAAGCTTGTGCTCTGGAAGACAGCACAGTGGAATGACTTGAAAACAAGGTAGATGCCCATGACAAGGTGATTAAAGAGGAAGAATTGATTTAATGTGTTTAGGTGAGGAAAATCTCATCTTTGTCTTTGATTAGCATTGCACAGTTGTTGTGAGCACAAAAGATAATTTAATGTTGCATCTTGAGCCATCTGCCTCTTAGCCTCCACCTGCACCATCCGCTGTTTTCTGAAATTGTACGAAAGACTTGAGCTCCTTTGATCTCTCTATAGCCTCATCTATAATCTCATGGTGAGTATGAGAGTGAAAGCCTGAAGCATAGTCTTAGGATGGCATTTTGTATGATTTTGGAAAGCTTGAGACAGAGCAGTAGGGTTATTCCAAATAAACATGAACGGCAACGAAGAGGAGGTTTAGTGTCTGTCTTACTTACTTTTCTCATTGCTGGGACAAAATACCTGATACTCAAAGTTAAAGGAGTTTCAAAAAGTTTATTTAACTCACAGTTTGTAGAGGTTTCAGTCCATAATCAGCCGGCTCCAAGGCAGGGTAGCATGGC